TTTCCCGAGGCTCGTGGGCCCCTTGAGCAGAGGCCGGGGTCTCTGGGGCGCAACGGCCCTCTGCCCGACGGAGCAGGCCTCTCGGGGCCGTGCCTGCGGTTCGTCCCGGGGCGGCTCCGGCAGCGCTGCTCCTCTCCCCGGGCAGCACCGTTCAGCCTTGCGCATGGGGCGGCTCGGGCAGAAGGGAGGATACCACGCCTGCCACATCCCACCCCACCGGTCGACTGGGCAGGGAGCACACGGGGAACGCTCCGTGGACGCCGCTCGGTGTCCCACGCTCCCCTGGCCCCCCACTGCAGGGCAGTCCCATCTCTTCTGCCAATTGTCACCTCTGAGTAGACCCCCCCACACACACACACCCAACACACACGCCCCACCTTGCTTGCTGGACCAGCAGGTGTGGCTACACTTCTGAGTGCGTACGAGAACCAGGCCGGGCGCTGGGCTGCCACTGGCCACGCTGGGCAACCCCACGGGCACGGGGTCTCTGCGGGGGAGGACGCAGAAGCAACCCCGCTCGGGGGCCGGTGCTGTCCCTCAGTTCTGAGCTCAAGGTCTGGGAGAATGGAGGGCCACGGGCCGGAAGTGGCGCACTCCCCCCCCCCCACCAGATCTCTGCCTCGGCGTAATGATCCGTGGCTTCATGGTTAGCTCAGGGCCAGCCCCGGATGCGGCAGCTGAGCACAGAAGCGAGCATCAGGGAAACGAAGCGCTGCTGAATAATTGACCGGCTCCGACATCCGACCCGGTTCATCCTCCGGCCTCCTGAAGGGGCCGCGCGACTCAGCGTGTGTGACGGAGCGGTGCCTCGGCCGGGCCACCAACCCGGTGGTCCTCCGCTCCGTGGCTGGCAGCCTGCGAACTGCCCTGCTCAGGCCACCTGCCACTGGCGCGTTTCCTCTCCTGCTCGGCTGCCCCGGCAGGGGTGCGGGTGGCACTCCGGGTGGCTGCTCTGCAGGGCAGCGCCAGCTTCAGAAAAGAGCTGCCTCCGGGGGGGGCGCCCTTTTGGGGTGCCCTCTCTCACAGAATTCCATCGGGGTCCAGAGATCGCCCTCTTCTGCCCGCAACCTGCTGTGTTTTCCTACCCTGATTCTGTTCTTCAGGTAGACTGTTCCGTGCCTGGAGTCCCGCACCTGGAAGCGCGCGAGGAATGCTACCAACGGGCGGTCGTGACACAGCCTTTCCTGGCGCACCTGAGACACCGCGTCTGGACAGGGGAAGCGAGCGTGGCTTCCACGGAGAAGGCCGCCCAGGTGGTCTGACCTGCAGGTCCAACGGGGCCATCAGACACGAACCCGCCTGCTTCCCTTTTCCCGCGGGCCGCATGGGAGCGACGGGGCCGAGGGCAGGGCCTGCCACTCCTCACGGTGCTTGGCGCAGCCGGGCCAGAAGGAACACCCAGTGACCCGGCGGGTGGAGGAGCCGGTGCACGGACATGCGGCCAAGGGTCCGCAAGATGCCGTGGCCACGGGCGCTCAGAATCCGTGCTCGGTGGGGAAGACGCTCCCGCCAAACGCGGTGGAGCAGTTTGAGAGGGGAACCAGCAGAGGAAACGCCACCACATGCGAAGCAGCCCCACGGAACTGCCCCGTGAGCCGCCTGCTGTGCAGGGTCCCCCGGAGCTCCGCTGCCCGACGCTGACGGAGCCCCGAGCCCCAGAAGAGCCCGCCGGGGGAGGAGGGGATGGTTTCGGAATGATTCATTTATCGTGCACTTTATTTCTATTATTGCATTGCGATATATAATGAAAGACTGATGCAGCTCTCCAGGATGCAGAATCAGCAGGAGCCTGAGCTTGTTTTCCGGCAACTAGACAGTGAGCGAGACAAGAGCGCAGTGCGGGAAAGAGGGGTGGGCGGAAGTGGTAGGTGAAATCATGGGTGGGCCACGCGTGGACTAAAGCGAGTGTCAGATTCTGACTCTAGGCCTGCCACCAGGGCAGCTGAACTGTCGCTTGCCACTCACTGGGAGGGCTTGGATACAAGCCGTCAAGCAATGGATTTACAGACCTCTCTGCAAACCATCATCAGCGCCACTATCACCGTCTCAGCCCCACCTCGGATCATCAGGCCTAATGATCGGAGGGGGAGCCGAGGCGGCGATGCTGGTGCTGGGGAGCAGCTCAAACGCCGAGGAGGCTTCACCTGCCCACCCGCCGCTCACCCCCTGCTGCGTGGCCCAGCTCCTAACACCCACAGGGCAGTACCGGTCGGTCCGTGGCCTGGGCACTGGGGAGCCCTGCTCTGGGCACCAAACACTGCTGAGGGGCGCAAGGGCGATCCCCCATCGATCGCCACGATGCAGCCCCCCGCAGCCAGGGAGCGCGGACGCCCTTGCCATGCCTGGGTGGTGTCCTGGCACAGCTGGAGTTGTGCAGAGACGGGCGGCACGCTCAGGGCAGAGGGGGCGCGCGAGAGGCGGCGGCAGAGACCGGGGGGGCAGGCGGGCTGGGCAGGGGCAGATTCGCTGCTGGGCACATTTCTTGGTTTCGAGGGTTCTCCTGTGAAAGCGGAGCAGCAGCAGTCGGGGCACGCCACAAGATGCGCAGCGCAGCTTTCTGCCCAAGCCCCACCAGCCAGTCACTAAGGAGCACTGCGGAGCCCGCAGCGCGTGGGGCAGGCGGGGGCACGTGGTGAGGGGAACTGACTCAGCAGCCCCCTCATGCCCCAGCAGCTTCCCCAGCCGGGGCTGGAAAGACTCCTGCCGAAACTTGGAGGAAGCTGCTGCCAGGCAGGGGCAACAGACCAAGGACAGACCCCTCCCGAGCATGGGCCAGGGAGAAGAGGCCCTGCCACTGGGCTTCGCCTGGCCACTGCCCCTTCTGCCAAGCACCCCCTCCCTCTGTGCCATCTCAAAGCGGTTTGCTTTATTGTAGCTCTGATGCCGTGCTTGCAAATGGCCAGAAAATCTCCAGAACTGACTGGCTTTGGAAAACAGTGTACACAGACTTTGGAAGAGTACAGTCAGACGTGAGTGAGGCTTAGGAACAGCCAATTTAATTTTCTGCTTTCACAGGGCACATTCTTCCCTTTAAAACAGTTTTGCTGACAGGATGCATCTGAACTCTTTAAAACCCTTGAGCAGAAATGCTGGCCTGCAAGGAGCCTCCATGCAACGCAGAAGCAAAGCCAGGCCCTCTTCCGGGACAGAGCGAAGCCGCGAGCGAAGTGCCTGGGCCAGGCCTCCTCCAGGGCTGGCTTGGCTGCTTTGTGCCCTCGGGAGTGTCAAAAAAGGATGGAGGCCACCAAAGCTACTGCCTGAAAACCAGATTTCATTGAGCGGGTGATTTGCTAAAATCTGCAGACCTCAGGGTTTGCCTGAGTCAGCGACTGGAAGGAGGCGGCCAAGGAGATACCACAATACAACCGGGTGTGCTGGACTGCAACTCCCATCAACCCCAAATGTGATTGTCAGAGCAGCGAACCAGACACGAAAGGGAAGGCAGAACTTCCGCAAGAGTCCTGTGGGACCAGAGCAAGGCCCATCCAGTGAGGTTCCCTGTCCACGTGGTGGTCAACCAGGGGCCTCCAGGACCCCGCAGGCAGGCAGGCCGCCTTTTTGCTCCTGCTGCCCAACTCACAGGCCAGTGCCAGGGGCAGCCTGCGGGCATCAGGCCCAGCAGCCGCTGGGGGCCTCCTCCCTCTCCATGGGGGTGCCCAGTCCTGTCAGAGCGATCCGCTTTGGGGGCCATCAAAACACACTGCGCAGCTGAGCTCCCCCGTCGAATGCGCGGCCCTGGGAAGTCGGCTCTCCCGTCCATAATTAAAGAGGAGGAGATAGGGAACAGTTGCACATTTTAACGTCCAGAACGGCACCCAAAGCCAGGAGGGGGTGAACCGGGCCGTCTCCACTCGCTCCCTCAGCCTCAGAGGGGTCCTTCCCCCACGACCCCTCCCAGGCGCTGCGATTCCTGCGGCCCCCTCTGCAGGCGGCTCAGATGCCGGTGCAGCCCACTTCCCTGCGCACACGTGTCTGCAGGCGGCCCCACGCGGGGATCGCGTGGACTTGGAAGCGGGGCGGGGGAATGAGCAGCCCCGGGGCCTCCCGACGAATCGGACTGCGGCCCCCATCGTCCACAGCCACGGGGGGGGGGCGCTTGCCGGGACGTGAGGCGCAGCGCGGGGCCCGGGCGGGGCGGAGCCACCAGGCCCGGCACCCCGCCCACGTGGCAGCCGCCTCCCGCCCGCCAGCCCGGCCGGCGCCGCGCCCTGCCTGCGCGCACGCGCACTCCCGAGCCGGCCCCTCGGCCGCGACCCCGCCTCGTCACGTTTCCAGCGCCGACCAATCGTCGCTGAGGCGACCCGCCGCATCCGGAACGGACCCGAAGCCCCGCCCCGTTTCGGGGGCGCGCGCGCGCGGTCTGGCGTCAGCGGTGGGGGTGGGGCGAGAGCGGGAGGGAGGGAGGGAGCCCCGCCCAGCCTTAGCCTGCGATCCGCGACGCCGCGTGACCGCTTGCGTCACCTCGCTGTGGCGCCATTGGAAGCGCCGCGCGCCCGTACGTAGGGAGCGTACGCACGCCCGTAGCCCAAGCTCGTGTACGCCCAGAAGGGCCCCCGGTGGTCCAGGCGAAACCATGTAGAGTAATCCCGTTCTACGCATGCGCCTGAGTGGACGCGCCTCAGCCGACGGGCCTCTGACGTCAGCGAGCGGCCGCGCCCTCCGCCTGCCGCGCTCGCGAGGGGACGGAGAGAAAGAAAGGGAGCGGCCGGCTGGTCGGCGTGCGCGTGCCCGCGCGGTCGGAGCCCGTCCTCGCGCGTGCGCAGGCCCCGCCCCGCCCCCGCCCGCCCGCCCGCCACCCAGGCCCTCCGTGCGGCCTGCTCGCCTCCTGCTCCGCCGCGTGCGCGCCTCGCGACCCGCGACTGCCGCCTGAGGAGGGACGCGCCGCCGGCCCGGCGGGGGC